TGAGCTGGGCCTATATGGACCTATGCCTTCAGTCACATGACCCTCTGTCACCTGATCAAAGTGCAGGCTAGAATTGGGGGCTTGACTCTTTGACAGGCCCAGCTCACCCTATGACAAGGCCACAGAACTTAGACTCAGGGTTTCTTTAAGTTCTGCTGGCTGCAATGGAGCCCCACTGGGCTGTTCTGGGATCTGGGAATTGCAGGAATGCAGCAGTACACTAGCCACACACCCCTTCTGTATGTCACACCCCTATGCTGGAAGTGGGATGGGTGACCCGCAGCTGGCCAGGCCAGTTCTATGCCATCTGGCGATTCTTAAGGGGAAATTCTTAAGGTAGCCGGTTAAACCGGCTACAAGATTGCACCAATCTAGCAGCGCAAAGCAAAGCATTCTCCATGTGAGCCATGATCTGGCCAACAGTCGCTGCTCAAGGAACTAGACAGATAAATGGATAGACCAGAACCAAATATACACTAGGAAACCCAGAGGAAGTACTATGTGCTTTAATACTGATGAGCTTCATGGAAGAGGTGCTTTAAGACCTGAATGCAGAGAGATACGGCTTCCTTTGGCCAGGGAGGGCATCCTAGGTGTAGGGATGCAGGAGAACTATGTTAATACAGTTAAGAAAGCCATGGAGATGCCACCTGTCATGTCATTCTCATGACACCACCTACATCTCAATGGCATTGCAATGCAGGGTGTGCAGTCTCCATTGTGCATCATGCCCAAATGGCTACTCTGCTGAGGAAGTTTAGAGGCTCCCCCAGTCTTCTTGCACTTTGGGTGGGGTTCTGGCATGCCATCAGGGTCTCCCAACCTGAAGGCAAAGGCACAACTGCCCCCCCCCCCGTTCCCCACTTTTTTGCACCAGAAAGGGAAAAACCAAAACAAGCCATTGGAAACACCACAAAGCTGACTTTAAGCCATGCTGTGTCCACTAACAGGAACAGATGCAGAGTATCCCCCTATGGGTCAATACCAGGTACCATTCTGTGCCACCTGTGGGCCACAAGCTCTGGGGGACGGAAACGCAATGAGTCACTGGCATCCTGGTCAGCGGGGACCAAGACTCTGAGAGGGGCCTCTTGGAGAGACTTGGGCAGGATTTTCTGCCCGTCTAACCAGGGGACACTGGTCTGGATTGGGGTGAAAAGCAGCGATGAGCGGCAGAAGGAGGGTGTATTTCAGGGGATGGGGTGAAACCTGGTTATTTTAAACTTTTCAGGCATAGGGCATGCAGAGCTGGGTGGGAAGGAGAGGGGGTATTGCCTGGAAGGAAAAAAGGTAGAGGTGGGGGTGGGCTAAGAAAGACACAGCTGGTATCATGCACGATAACTACAGTGATCCCTTCTATGAATCCTCTCCCACCCAGTGGTTGTGCCTATGCTACGTGCTCTTTCACATGAAAGGATAGTGAGGTCTGAGCTACACCACTGCCCATCACACTGACTAGTATTCTCATTATTTCCTTTAACCACCCCACGCTAGTCTGTCTCCACCTGTCGCCTCTGGCCTTTTTCTTCAATTCTAAGCGCTGTTGTTTTTACTGCGTTTGTACAGCGCCTAGCACACTGGGGTCCTGGTCCATGACTTGGGCTGCAAGGCGCTATAGTAAGACAAATGATAAATCTGCCCTGCCACAGCTCCTGGGGTCCAGTATTCTAGCCTGACGTCACAAGAGGAGCACAACCAAATTCCTCTGACTTTCTTGTGACTTGAAAATAAACCGAAAGGGGGTTGAAATCATTTCTACCAACAAGATTTGCAGATGGAAAAAACAGCACCTGAGAAGTGACTTAGTGTCAGCTCTCAACAGCCAAGAGCTGAAAATGAGGAAAAGGTCTTTAAAAGAAGAAGCCAAAAATGTTTTGGAATCGCAGCCCCACCGTTGTGTAATCCCCACCTCCCCCTGTTTCGACATCGCTGATTAACCAATTGCGGTCCCTCCTTGCTGATCCCAAGGAAGTTGAGGGAGGAAGAAATTGGAAACCTGACAAGAGCCCAGGGGGCCTGGGAGTGCAAGTGAAGAGCTGCCAAGACATTCCCGTTCCCAGGAGGGCACTCCACATATGCAGGACATGGCATGTATGGTTGTTTGAAAGTCGGATGCCTTCAGTTCTGGGAGCTTTAAAATTCCAGCTGTCTCATAGGAACCAAGGCTGAATGGCCACTGAAATTTAAAGGCCTCAATTTTTGGGTGCCCAACCTGAGGCTAATTTTCAGAAGTGCTGAGAATCCACAAATTCAACTGAAGTCAATAGGAGCTGCAGGTGCTCAGCAACTCAGAAGGGAGAAAAAACAAACAAACAAAAAATCAGGCCTCATATTCAGTGTTTAATTTTCAGCACCCAGTTAGAAAAGTTTGGCATAACTAAACAGTCTAAATACACTGCTCCCCAGACAGAAGATCAGGAAGGAGTGAGTGAGAGAAGGAAATAGGCCGTGGTGAGGCTAGCACAGCTGTGGGGGAAGAGGTGCGATGTGCTATGAATCAAGAGCAGAAACCTGGGCGGGGCCAGAGCTGGGCAGATCCTTGAGGGGCAGAACACCGCAGCTGTGCTGAGCCCTGTTCTGGTTACATGAAGCGACTAATAGGTAACTTTCCAGAGGACAGCAGCACAGCTACTAGGTAGGAGAAAGAACCTGCTTCAAAGGTGGGCCCTTCTGGAAGGCTTTGTCTGCAGTATGAGCCGAGTCATTTACTGATGGTGGATAAAGCCCTTGTATGGGGGGTCTCTCACAATGAGGCCCTGTTTGAAAACACCAGTCCGGGGGCCTGATCCAAAGCCCATTGAAGTCTATGGGAGTCCTACATTTTTAAGAACCAGGGAGAATGCTGGCAGGGGTGATTCAGCAGTATCCAGGCTGTGGAGGTGGGAAATGACCTCTATCCCGGCAGAGGGTTGCCTCTCGTACCCTCCCCTACCATTCAGGCACCCATTGCCTCCCAGATGTTTGCCAGGCATTTCCTTTTCCATCCGCAGGGAAAACACTGGTCTAGATCCTAGCTGACGGTGTCACACACCAGCCCTAATCATGTTGCTGATTCCCCATCAGATGGCCCAAGCTCACATCCACCTTTTGTAATCTGTTTCCGGTCATGTGCCAAAATGAGACTTCAGTAAACAATTGCTGCCTTGAATGCTTGGGGGTTTTCCTCATGCTAGTGTCAGCACCACTGGTATCAAGGGGTTAATATTATAATGGGCATGTGTGCCAATGCCCCCTACTGGATGGAGGAGGACTATAACCATGTTTCATGGACCCTATACTGCTAAGAGCTAATGCAGGTTCCCCATTAATCCAAGAGGGGACATTTCCTTTTGAAGTGGGTTCTGAACCTCCCTCCAGCATTCAAGTTACATAAACTCCCTAGCAAGGCTGAAGATAGGCAGCTTCCTGAATATCCAACATGTAATTTGCTCCATTAATGAACTACAAAGTGTCTGTGTGTCCAATGCAAACCCAGATAGTGAGCTTTGATGAAAGGAACCCTGCACGCTCAAAATATATGCAGTGTTTTACCAAAGCAAAATGGCACATATATTCTGTTTCTGGATTCCCTTTTCACTTGACCCTCGTCAGTACTGCTGCCAATATATAGGTGGATGTAACATCTGCCTGGTGATTTTCTTGAGTGCCCAATCTCAAGTGCACTTGACAAGCCAGACTTTCCAAAGTGCTCAGCACCCCCAACTGGGGCCACACTTTCAAAACAACTCAGCGCTCAGCAGCTCCCATTGTGATTCCTATGGGCTTAGGCCCTGATCCAGCAAATCATTTAAGCATGGGCTTAACTCTAATGGGACTACTCAACAGCTTAAAGTAAACCACGTTCTTACATGCTTTGCTGGATTTGGGCCTCAAACAAACAGCAGCAAGAGTTCTTTTCATCCATAGATCTCACGGCACTTTGCAAAGGAGATCAATACGGTTACCTCCATTTTATGAATGGGCAAGTCACTTCCCACCCTCACTTCCCCAGCAGCTCAATGATAGAGCTGGGTTCTATTCTTGGCTCTTACAAATTCCAGCTCAGTGCCCTGGCCACTGGGCCACAACGACTAGTAGTAGTAACAGCTACCTCTCCCTCCTGCTTGATGCATTCAGTGAAAACTACCATTTGTTATGCCCTTGCATCACAGGCACTGGATTGTGGCACCACCAATCAGGCGAGAAGTTGAGAGGTCTGATTACAAAGGAGAAAGCTTCTACTGACAGTCATAAAGTTTGGGTAATTAGCAATGAGGGGAAAAGAAATAGGCTACTGAAGCTGTGAAGACTGTTTTAAAGCGCTCTTGGGTGTGGCAGCGGGTTTATTAAAACTGCGAGTAGCTGTAAATAAGAGGCACTCACCCTTCAAACTGTGGCTCCTCCATTCCCTGTGAGTGTACACCACATCTGTGTACTTATGTAGTGCTACACTTAAAGGCCTTCTCCTCCCCCTGAAGTCAAATGAGGGATTGCCATTGATGTCTGTGGAAGCAGAACTGGACTTTAAGGCTCAGATCTTCAAAGGGAGTTAGGCAATTTGGACCTAAGGGGCTAATCCCTGCAACTGCTCTGTAAAGAAGGTGGTATCACCCTTTTACATATGGGTAAACTGAGGCAGAGTAAGGCGCTTGCTGCAGAATTGAGGCCCTGACTTTGGCAGGGTGATTTCCTTGGGAGTGGATTTCCACAGCACTGGATGAGAGTATAATGTGTCTGCAAACAAACATTGCCCATGTGCAGGGGCTGTCAAGGTCTGAGTGCAATTCAATATTCACAGCAAAGAGTCAGGCACTTGAGAAGCATTTGCAGCAGGATGAGTCAGCTATCACTGTGGGCAAGCAACAACCTCTTTTTCCTGTCCTCGTGAGTTGCAAAAGAGGTGCAGATGACAACAAGTTTCCAGGTTAATGGGAGACCCTATGCATTGACGCAGGGAACTCCCTGCAATACCATGCTGCCAAATAGAGCAGTGACCCTGCAGAATTGGCTGCTGTACTTACATCCATGTAGTTCTTCAGGGTCTCTGGGGTGGGCTCCCCTACGCCAGGCACGCCCAGCTTGTATTTCAGGAATTCGCCCATTGCATTCAGATCGGGGATTTCACTTCCGGCTTCATTTAGGATGCGGCGCACTGAGGGGAACTTAGTCAGTGGGATTCTGTTTGGGAACCAAAGAAAAGCACATTGCCAGTTAAAGCAAGTAACCCCCCAATGCCAAATGATAACATCCCTCCCCCACTCCAGGCAGGGCTGGACCTCATGCAAAGCAAGTGATCGTCTGGTACACAAGGAGTACTCAGAGGTTCAGTAGCAGTCTTACAAAAAATCCAGAACATGCTGCTGTTTAATGTTCTGAGGGACAGAATTTCCCTCCTCCTCCTTCTCCCCAGGGTGACAGCACCTGTCTCTGTTGATCTGTGCATACAAATAAATGCACACCAGGGCCTGTAGGGTTCTCAGGAACACATCTTCTGCTGGTGCAAAATGGCACAGTTCCATGGACGTTAACGGATTGACCAGTTTACATCAGCAGAGAATTTGGCTCCTAATGTCAGCAAGGTTTACAGTGCAGCTCCCAGCCTGGGCAAGCTTCAACAAAGTTTATATTTTTCTGACGCCTACTGTTGGGTCTTCTTTCTGGAGCCTTAATAAGAATACCTAGCCCTTGGTGCTTTTCATGTGTAGACCTCAAAGTGCTTTACAAAGGATGTATCTGCGATTATCCCCACAGATGGGGAAACTGAGGCACAGAGGCTGACTTGCCCAAGGTCACACAGCAGGTAGGTAGCAGAGGCAGGAAGAGCACCCAGGTCTCCCAAGTTGAAGCCCAGTGCCCTATCCAGAGAGCCATGCTGTTCGTCTCTCTCAATTCCCAAGGCCTGTGCAGGAAGAGAAGCACTCACAGCTTTCCATCTGGGGCATGTCTACTACACTTCCAGCTGGGGAAGTGTGTGTCTCCTCAAGCTCGGAACGGCACCCCCAGCTCCTAGTGTAGACATCCTTGAATGAGCCAAATTTAGGGTATGTCACAATCCACCATTTCTAGCATGAGCTGCTTCTAAGAGTTGGAAGCTCACCTCAACTTCAGTGACCCACATGGAGTTTATATGTGCATGGAGGGGAGGTGGGCTACCAGCACCAGAAGAAAAAATGTCAGGAAGTTTGGATACCGCCATTATTCCCTTCTCCTGCGTCCATCTTTGGGGCACTTCCCTTGTTCTAAGGCCCTCTTCACACCAGAAGCAGAACCATGCTAGCTCTAGCTATGTTCCAACACACCGTTTTCATGACAAGCGCCTGATCCAAAGCCCACTGATGTCAATGGGAATCTTGCCATTGACTTCAGTGGGCTTTGCACCAGGCCCCCCATTAGCAGGGTACTGGATGAACATGGAAAAAACAGACCATTCTCGCTCTGAAGGGCTTATAAAACCACATTTGGGGAGGCAGTAGGAGTAGTGTATAGCGCTGTTTAGTTTGGGAAAAGGATTCCCTGTTCATTTGAATTAGGGAACCATGCTAACAATAGTTACTGATCCAGCCTCCGGATCCCACCATAGGCAACACCTTAGACTCATCTATTATTGGGAGTGGACTACATCCACCCTGATCGAATTGGCCCGGTCAACACTGGCTCTCCACTTGTGAGGCAACTCCCTTCTCTTCATTAGTCAGTATAACAATGCCTGCATCTGTAATTTTCACTCCATACATTTGAAGAAGTGAGGTTTTTTACCCACAAAAGCTTATGCCCAAATAAATCTGTTAGTCTTTAAAGTGCCACCGGACTCCTCATTGTTTTTGTGGATACAGACGAATACAGCTACCCCCTGATACTTGACACCTTAGACTCAGACTAGCAACTGCAGAAGTGCAGTGTTCCCAACTGCTAGGGATGTCCCAGCACCACTGAACTCATGGCCCTCAGCAATTTCATTCAAATGGGGAAAGCACGCTAATGCTCAGGGCCCCTATGCTACTAATGATCTTTGGCAACTTCTGGAGCCAATGGTTTTGCTCAAGAAAGTTGCCTGCTCCTCAAGGTGTGGTAGCCAGCCTGCTCAAAACCATCCATTCCCGTCTCCCCAAGAAGCCATCCATTTGGACGCTGTTGTTTGTAAGGACTCTGCCAACTTCTTTCTGAAATTTCTGTATTTCAGGCCCTGTCCATGCTGGGAAATTGACCGTGTTCTTGCAAGCTGTCAGGTATCAGGGCTGTACTGGTTGCTGCTGGCCCACAACAAGAGTACAATTTTGTTAAAACAGTTGTTGGAAACTGCTCAGAGTCCAGAAACAACTGAAGCACAGGAGGGGCTTTATAAAACAAATGAGAGCTCCCGTATCAGGCTGTTTACCGATCATCGAAGAGTGGTAAAGTCAATACCTAGCTAAAGCCACTTCCTTTGTCGGTTATGGTCCAGTGCAAATAAAGAAAGTTAAAACATTGACAGAAAGCTGATCACAGCTCACAGAAAATTAAATAAGGAAAACAACTTACAGCTATTTTGCTTATCATGATTTAGATCTTTGTAAACACTCCACTGAGGTTCCACTTGAGAAGACAACTGTCCCAGCTTGGCACTCCCTAGATCAGACTCCTGACTCCCAGGGCCTCATTCACTGCTGTCCAGCACCTAGAATAGTCATTTTCACCAGTGTGGGTGTGTGTTACAACTACTACACCGGACCCCCGCTAGAACGCAGGGTTTTGGATCCATGCGCGGTCCCGCGTTAACGCAGGAACCGCGTTACCGTGGGGACCGCATTACCATGGATTCCAATGAAGGTAATTAAGTTTGGGATCCATGCACGGTCCTGCGCTATAACCGAATTCACGCTATAAGACGCGCGTTCTAGTGAGGGTCTGCTGTATTCTGATCTCAAAGCATTTTACACACACTTTGCACTGTTGAAACAGACTATGCAAAGTGCAGGGCCACAATGATCAGGCTCCTAATGTGTCCAGAAACTCCTACTTCTGTATCACAGATCAAAGACAACAGACTTTAACAAGAGGGCATATTGTTTCCACAACCCAAATCCTCGGGTCAAATCCCCCAGATCCAGTGCTACCTACTTCCAGAGTAAATGTATATTTTGTGGAGGGTTTTGTTTGAAGTTAACATATTCACTGTCCGTTTCAGCAACTAGAGGAGAAAATTCCTGACCACTACATAAAACCTCAAGTCTTGATGATCTCTCAGAAGTTCCATCGGCCTTCACAGGAGTAAAACTTTCCAAGCCCTGATTTTCAAAAGGGCTGAACACCCACATTTCCAGCTGAAATCAAGAGCAGCTGCAGGTGCCCAGCCCTTCTGAACAATCAGGCCCTGGGAAGTTTTGCTCCTGTAAAGGTCAATGAAACTTCTGAGAAATCATCAAGACTTGAGGTTTTACTTAGTGGTCAGGGATTTTCTCCTCTTGTTTTTGAAACTGTCAGTCAATAGGTAAGTGAAAGTTAACTCAAAACAAGCTCCACCCCCAATATACATTTACCTTGGAACTATACAAGAATGAATTTGGGTGAGCGACCTGAGCCTGACAGGTTTGTTTCTTAGGGCCACATCCTGCTCGATGCTGGTCATCCTCAACTCTAACCAGTTTCAATGGGAGTTGAGTGCGCTTAGCCCATTTGCTGGATTTGGCCCTGAGGGAAGGTGACTAGTCAACAACTGCAACACATCCAGGGTGGCACACTACACGCACTTTTAACTTCTGCTTAGCAGTAGCGAGACACTTTAAAGCACCCCAATGCCTCTTCTGAGAAACTTCATGAGCCAAACTGTGCCCTTGGAGAGGCAGGTGCATCTCCCAGGGAGGGAAGTCAATGGAAAAAGTCCATGCCTAGCCAAGGACCAAATTTTAGCTCATGATGGGTCAGATTTTTTTTTGCTTCTTTGCTTAATTCTCCCATTTCCAATCCTTGCCGAGGGCTGGATGCAGGGAGACTGTCTCTTTGGTCTGTTAGGCGTTTACCTGAGTCTGCAGCTAATTCCTCACGTCAAGTACTAATCCCTCCCCTCCATGAGCTCATGATGGCAGAGAGAAATCGCAACCTCCCAAGAGCAAGAGAGACGCACATATTCTTAAGCAACAAAGACCCTGGTTTTCTATAACCCTCCGCAGTTACCAGAGGCAGTGAGGCAATGGGCAAGCTCAAGCAGGATGACTCTTAAGAAATATGTCTCCCAGGAGGCCTCAACAGCTCTTTGGAGCAAGGGGTGAGCAGCTGCTGTTGCCATCGGGCTCCCCGCCAGCACCTTTGTTTACAAGGACCTCGCCCCGGGAGCCCCTAGCGCCTGCTGTCTAGCCGTGCCCAGCTGCAGCACTTCCCTCACCTGATCAGCGCCGAGCATGGGACCACAAGGGCCAGGAGCAGGACAAAGGCGCGGAGCCCCATGGCTGCTGCGGAGCTGGCTCCCGGCGTGACGGCTGCTGCAAGCCGATCCGTGCGCCACTGCCTTCCCACGCCCTCTGTTATCCAGGGCAGGGGATGACTGAGCATGGAATCCTGTGACTTTGGGATCAGCTGACGGGCTAAAATGGCAATCCCGTGTCACGTGATCACAGCGCCCGCTAGGGGAGGAGGAAGCTGGGGAAGGGATTTAACCCTGTAAACGCCACAGACGGGCGGAGAGAGGTAGCTTAGGGCTGTGTGGTGCCAGACTTTCCGTCAGCAGTATTGCTAACCCAAGCATGCAAACACCATGAGTCAGCCCCCCTCCCTCCGCCACAGAATATCATGAGACTGCCTTAGAGTGCTTTGCTGTCTGGCTTTTAATTTGGGACTTCGGTCACAGGTTTCAGGCTTTTCTCTGCAGCCAGGAAAGCTCAAAACTTAATAATAATTAAAAAAAAAGGGAAGAGTGAGCTGCTGGTGTACTCATACGGTTTTCGAAAAACACCAAACGTGACAAGACTTGCACTGCGATTGCAAGAATTTGCAACACTGGTAGAGAGACTGTGCCATGTCTACTTCCCACTCAATCATATAACCTCCCTGTGGCAATCGGGGCAGCTGCTGGCATGGAAAGAGGAGATCGGGAAAGTATTTAATATATTTGAACCTGCCTGTTAGTCTCTCTCATGGTATGCACAGTGTGCCCAGCCATTACATAGCATCGTCATCAGCCAGGTGAGGAGGCAGTAGCCCACCGTGGAAATAAGTCAGTGGGCACTCAGAGAGAATATGCCACATAGCCAGAAGTTAACGGCATCTACCTGGTGGTGGGTCATTAGAGGAACCCCATTTGAAGAGACTGGCTGCATAATGGCTCTGTCCTGTTCGAAACTGGTTCAGGGATGACCACAGGTGTCTTGGCAGGTCAAAACCTGTTGGGCAGATGGTTGGGTAGGTGGCGAGAGAGTGATTATTAATGACTGTCATCGCAGACCTCTCATTACACCAAGCAGATTCCACCATGTCTTGTGGTGGCACAAGTGACCATAAAGGGCTCCTAGAAGACTGGCGAACTGGCTGGTGGTTGAAGAGGTCAGAGTACAGAGGCAAGCTGCTGTTCTCACAGCTCATGGCCAGGAGCAGGATGGAGGCCCCCTCACGGCAAAGATGGGGTGGTGCTACATTTCTAAGTATTGGCAGCCATGGCAATGGAGTTGCACAGAAAGTCCCCATAACGTGCATAGCTTTGTTAAACTCTACATTGAGCAGCCTCACGTGAGATGAGCGACACCAGACAGGAGCACGTACTCTGCTGCTGAATAGCAGAGGGCAAGGACTGATGTTCTAAGCGTCCCTGCACTTCGAACTAAAGATTGTTAGTGCAATTTAGCAGCTAGAAACAAGGAGGAGACAGCATCATGTGAGCTGTCAGCTCCCTGCAGACCACTAGCAAGGGTTTTGTGGACCACCCGTGATGGGTGGACCACAATTTGGGATCCCTACCTAGGGACCTTAGCAAAAGTGCAGTATCTGGACTCCTTGGTCCTGTAGGTTTGAATTTTTGTAGGGCAGCTGCTCCATTTCAAGGCAGATGAACCAGATTCCCTGGATCTTTTAGAGAATACCCTGAAAAGCCAGGTGCAGTCTGGTTTGTCTGGATGTTAAAGGTCTGAGGGCACTTTTTAGGAAGCAAGGGGCCTTTGGCCAAAATGTTACCCACTCTGAAGTTAGTGTGGGGGTGTTTGTGGCTGCTGCCCTCTGATCTAAAGCTAGTAAAACAAACCTTAGCTGCATAGATTGTAAAGGGATCCGTCAGAATGGGATGTGCTTTATAATGGCCAGCTACAGGCCTCCTGCTGCTGACAGAATTGGGCTCTAAGCCCATCTGCGAAGAGAATCTTCTGAGTGCAGGGAGGGGGGGACCTCCAGCCCTGTCCATATAGAAACTCCTATGCCACTTCCCTTACCTACCTCTGCCAGGTAACGTGGGGGGCTGGAGGAAAAGGAATGTAGCCAGGATGCTCCCCTACATTACACTGATCCTGGGGTCCATTTTCATCCTCTTGATTGCTTAACAGCTAGCACAGAGGAGTAAGAAAAACATGAAATATAATTAGGGACTGGGATTTTCACAGCCTGAAGCACCCCCTGGAAGCCTGGCTCCTCTCCCACACCCCCACCTTGCTATTAGTATATCTTTCTTGGAGTAGCAGGGGAAAAGCCATTATAATGATTCTTTTTTTCCCCTGTGCATTTGCATTTGGAGAGTTACTTTGGAGTCAGTGAGAAAAGCAGGACTCCCAGAAGGAATAAAGGATTGGCAGGAGATGCGGCTTTGAGCAGCACCCACTTCGCAAGAGGGCTTTCAGGGTAAGGAAGGGGTGGGGGTCTAACAGCTGGGAGGACACTTCTGCTAAGGAGACTGTGAATTTAATGGCTGGTTAATGGTGCCAGCCAGCCAGCCATGGCCCTTTTTTATCTACAGCACAGGTAGAACAGGGGCTTCTCCAAACTTATGGGAGAAAAGGGAGCTCAGTTTCCAAGCCCATTCAGTTTTTGGCCTCTACTGAGGCTGCCAACAGGGGTCTCCCTTAATAGCAATTGGGGTGGTGTGCTTGGTGTTGTAGATACCCCATTCCCTGAACCCTTTATCAGCCTCCATCAGATTCAAACACCTCATCCTGGAAGGCCCTACAGAATCTCACCCCCACCTTTGCTCTCATTTCTTCCTACACTCCTGTGTTCCTCCCAGTTCTCTCTCCTTTCTTTGCCCTTTTCCCCACTCTCAGCTTCACTTCCTTCTTTGTGCTCCCCCACCATGCTTCAGAGAGTCAGCCAAGCATCCTTCCTCCACCTTCAGGCCTGCTTCTTCAAAGAATCTGTCCTGCCTCGCTCTCTCTATGATCTCGGCACACCCTCCCCTGTATGAACTTTTATACCATCTTTTGCCTGGGATCCCCTTGTCCCTTGTAATTTCTTCAGGGGAGATAACATGGCTGCTGCATGTTTGTTAAATGCTGGGGGGGGAAGGACAGTTCTATCAAGATTAATAAAACCGATAAACCAAGATTTTCAGAAGTGACTAATGATGTTGGGTGCTCACCTTGGGATTAGAGCAGTGGTTCCCAAACTGGGGTTCGTGAACCCCTGGGGGTTCACGAAATGTTACAGGGGGTTCTCGGAAAAAAATTCCCTAATGGCGGACAGAGCTTTCCTTAGGGACCCTGGGCAGCACAGGGCCAACAGCCTGGAGCCACTGGACTTCCACGAGCTAAGCAGATCAAAGCAAGCATATCTATCACACTGAGGAGATTTAAACTTCAAGACTCCTTATAAGAAATGGAAAGGGAGGTGGATATTTTTTGCTGTTTTTAAAATTAAATAGGCAGCTAGTATTGGTTTGTTTTTTTTAATTATTATGAAGAACAAGTTTAAGTTTTGTTGTAACGTGCATTGTTTGCCTGGACTGCTCAAGACCTGAATGCTTGTGTAGGAGGAACTCTTTGAGTTGGCTTCTTAAATACCTTCATGATGTTTCACATCTGATATTCCTTGATGAAACATAGGAGCCTTGTCTTATAACAGGCTTATTCAAAGTGATACAAGCTACGAAAGTGAGCTCTTGGAAGAGTGTTGCCATTTTCATAATGTAATAAAAATACTGTAATGATAAATAATAAATAGTGTGTAATATGCATGTCATAAAAACAAATGTTATATTTCCCAGATCACTGCTTTTATCATTTATACTCAGATAAAGAAGAAAATCCCTGGAAATATACATTTTTAGGAGGGGGTTCCCGAGACTCGACATTTTAGTGAAAGGGGTTCACAGGTTGTTGAAGTTCGGGAACCACTGGATTAGAGCCAAGCATGACAGACATGCAATATTCTGGATAGACCCTTTTGAATTAGGTTTAATACTGTTGGGGGCCACTGTATTAAAAATGCAATTGTTTGTGTGTTATTGTGAGATCTGGTCTACTCTACACACTTACATCGATGTAACTGTGTCTCTCGGGTATGATAAATCCACACCCCTGAGCAAGGTAGTTATACCCACCTAACTTCCGCTGTGGACAGCACTAAATTGGCGGAAGAGCTTCTCCTGCCGACATAGTTACTACCTCTCACAGAGGTGGATTAATTACGCCACCAGGAGAGCTCTCTTCCAGCGGTGTAGAGCTTCTTCATTAAAGCACGAAGGGGGTAGCTGCACTGATGTGCTGATGCAGCGGTTGAAGGGTAGACCTGCCCTGAGATTATATGCAACTTCACTGGGAGGTAGGGGTATACTACTTTAATCCTGTAGGGATATTAAAGAAGGTACTAACAGTGATTCCCCCAAGTGACAGTGACCCCCTCATAATTTGTCCCCCATACTTTAAAATCCAACAGTTTCACCAAATACAAAAATCTCGTGGGTCTTCTGTTAAAACTTGTAAGCTACTGTCTGTAGAAACCATTGATTATGTCTATCCTGTGAAAGATATTTTACTACTATGTAAAACTTACAAACAAGTTAATTGACTTTGTTCTTGAAGTAATTGATACAATGTAAACAAACACTATAAGCTGTTAAGTGACTTTCACTTCATTCAACGGCTCCTAGGACAGACCCCCACCCTCTGTGATTAAAGGGCCGGGAGTCTCAAATGAATTAGCACACCCCGAAAGTGGTGGAGACAGTAAATTAAAATATGGTTAAGATATGGAATGTATGTTGATGAATGCTTGATGTACATAAATGGTTAGGGAGGTGCCAGCCTAGAAAGGGAGTATCCATTGGCCGAAGAATGTGTCAAGTAGGATCACCAGACAACCCCCGGAGGGTAAACTGGGATCCACCCCATCACCTGGAAGGATGAGAAACACAAACTTTGGACAGTGTGGAGCCACCAGGAATGTGCCACTTTGGACAGGAATGTGCCATCTGCTGATTGAGTCAGCAACAGCAGAATGAAACAGCTCCCATACACTAACATAAGAATTAATTCCTATAAGAATGGACTCTCAAGACTGATGACTGAGTCTCTGGTTCTGCTGCCAGCCTCCAGGAGCATCAGGTGCACCTGACACAGACTTGGCTCCATCCTCATGACCAAGATACCTGGCCAGTAACTTGGCA